TAGTTAACAGTGTGTTGCTGGAGGCTGTTGTTGTACGAAGGATTCTCTGTCTGCCCCAATGGCAACCTATTCCCTATAGAGTTCACTACTTTTTACCAGAGCCCTGTACACCTTGGTCAAAAGTAGTGCACTATATAAGGAAGAGACAGGCCATTTGAGATACAGGCTGAGTTTTTGTTTTCAGCAATATGGTTAAGAATACTAAGAGTTAAAGAGCCATGTCTGGAGCCATGTGTTGACAGAAGTGACGAGAGAGCAGAGAGAGAAGGGAGAGAGTACAGAGAACAGGAAGGTGAGGGACAGAGAGACAGGAGGAAGGTGACAGAGGACAGGGAGAAGGTAAGAGGGAGAGAGAGGTGACAGGAGAGAGACAGGGAGGAGAAAGGTGACAGTGAGACAGAGAGAGAGGACAGAGACAGGAGAGGAGGAAGGTGACAGAGAGACAGGAGAGAAGGTGACAGAGAGACAGGAGAGAAGGTGACAGAGAGACAGGGAGAGAAGGTGACAGAGAGACAGGGAGAGAAGGTGACAGAGAGAGAGAGAAGGTGACAGAGAGACAGGGAGAGAAGGTGACAGAGAGACACAGAGAGACGGGAGAGAAGGGAGTGACAGAGAGAGACAGGAGGAGAGAGGTGACAGAGAGACAGGGAGAGGAGGTGACAAGAGAGACAGAGAGACAGGGAGGGAGGTGACAGAGGACAGGAGGAGAAGGTGACAGAGACAGGGAGAGAAGGGAGATGACGAGAGACAGAGAGACAGGGAGAGAAGGTGACAGAGAGACAGGAGAGAGGTGACAGAGAGACCAGAGAGACGGGAGGGAAGGTGACAGAGAGACAGGGAGAGAAGGTGACAGAGAGACAGGGAGAGAAGGTTGACAGAAGACAAGAGACAGGAGGAAGGGACAGAGAGAAGGAGAGAAGGTGACAGAGAGACAGGGAGAGGAAGGTGACAGAGAGACAGAGAGACAGGGAGGGAAGGTGACAGAGAGACAGGAGAGAAGGTGACAGAGAGACAGGGAGAGAAGGTGACAGAGAGACAGGGAGAGAAGGTGACAGAGAGACAGGGAGCAGAGAGAGAAGGTGACAGAGAGAGACAGGGAGAGAAGGTGACAGAGAGACAGGGAGAGAAGGTGACAGAGAGACAGAGGAGAGAAGGTGACAGAGAGAGGGAGAGAAGGTGACAGAGAGACAGGGAGAAAGGGACAGAGAGACAGGGAGAGAAGGTGACAGAGAGACAGGGAGAGAAGGTGACAGAGAGACAGGGAGAGAAGGTGACAGAGAAGAGGACAGAGAGAGGTGACAGAGAGACAGGGAGAGAAGGTGACAGAGAGACAGAGAGACAGGGAGGGAAGGTGACAGAGAGACAGGGAGAGAAGGTGACAGAGAGACAGGAGACAGGAGAGAGGGACAGAGAGACAGAGAGACAGAGAGAGAAGGTGACAGAGAGGACAGAGAGGAGAGAGGTGGGGAAAGAGAGAAGGTGAAGAGAGGAGAGGGAGGTGACAGAGAGACAGAGAGACAGAGGGAAGGGGAAGAGAGAGACAAGAGAAGAAAGGAGGGAAGGTGACAGAGGAAGCAGAGAGAAAGGGAGAAGGAGAAGAGAGGTGACAGAGGGAAGAGAGAAAGTGAAGAAGAGAAGAGAGAGACAGGAGTCGGTGAGAAAAAAGGAGACAGAGAGACAGAGAGAGAAGGTGACAGAGAGACAGAGAGAGAAGGTGACAGAGAGACAGAGAGAGAAGGTGACAGAGAGAGGGGAGAGAAAGAGTGTGTGTGTGTATATGTGTGTGTCAAGGGGGGGGTTGTCTAGGTGTGTGTGTGTGTGTGTGTGTATCTGTAGGTGTGTGTGTCTCTCTACGTGTGTGTGTGTTGTCTGTGTGTGTGTGTGCGCGCTCGTCATTATCAAGGTCTCTGCCTAGAGGATCTGGAAGTAGCCACGCCCATCTGCAGCAGACTTAACGCCACACCCGGCAACACTTCCTGGAAACTTGCGATGACATTGTGGCCAAGGGCTCCACCGGTCTTCCAATGAAAGAGGTGATGATTGATTGATTAATTGGTTGGTTTAACTATTTTGTGTGTGTGTGTGTGTGTATGTTGGTGTGTGTGTGTGTGTGTGTGTGTGTGTGTGTGTGTGTGTGTGTGTGTGTGTGTGTGTGTCTGTGCTCTAGCTGCTAAGGCCTTTGTGCCCTGGGCTCAGCCAGGGTGTGGCAGTACCTCAGGAGGTTGGAGATGGGACCTGCAAGGCGGGCATGGCTGGAGGACAGCTGGGGGGTCCATGGAGGTTCCTGGAGACCGCTGGAGGTCAGAGTGCTCTCTACAGGGTACAGAGTATACACACACACACACTTGCAGGACAGGACAAGACAGGACAGGACAGGACAGAGACAGAGACAGAGACAGAGACAGAGACAGAGACAGAGACAGAGACAAAGACAAAGACAAAGACAAAGACAAAGACAAAGACAAAGACAAAGACAAAGACCGAGCCCCGAGACAGAGACCGAGACCGAGAGAGGACATTGGTATAGACACAAACGCTTACTCCCATTTATCCCCCGTCTAATCTCCTCCTGCTAGCTCCAGCTCCCGCAAGAGGGGTCCTTCTCTGAGAGCGAGGAGCTATATTCTCTCTCTCATCGCCTCTCTTTCTCTCTCTCTCTCTCTCTCTCTCTCTCTCTCTCTCTTCTCTCTCTCTCTCTCTCTCTCTCTCTCTATCTATCTCAGGTGATTGACAGTTCAGCATTGATGTTCCGGAGGCTTGTTTCTCGTCATATCTGTTTTGTTTTTTCTCTCGACCAAGCAGAACTGACCGGTGTCCTATGTAGGGTCCGAGACAGAGTGGGCAAGGTGTGTGTGTGTGTGTGTGTCTGTGTTTAACTTCCTCTAAAGTGTACATTAACCTTGAAACTCTCTGTCTTTCGCACGCACACGCACACGCACACACACACATGCACACGCACACAGAAACTGGATCTGGAGCTGAGGACGGTTCGGACCCAGTTGGTTCTGGAGTCTCTGCTGCAGCTCACCTTGCCAACCCTCCTACAGTCTAGGAACACAGGTAAGAGTGTGTGTGTGTGTATGTGTGTGTGATAGTTTGTGTGTGAGACAGAGAGAGCAAGTAAGCAAGCAATGTACACTACACAATGTACGTATATATACACACTACCGGTCAAAAGTTTTAGAACGCCTACTCATTCAAGGGTTTTTCTTTATTTTGTACTATTTTCTACATTGTAGAATAATAGTGAAGACATCAAAACTATGAAATAACACTTATGGAATCATGTAGTAACCCAAAAAAGTTTTAAACAAATCAAAATATATTTTATATTTGAAATTCTTCAAATAGCCACCCTTTGCCTTGATGACAGCTTCGCACACTCTTGGCTCTGCAATCCCATATCACACCACATGGGGGCGCTTCATCTCTTTTGAGTCTGTATTGCAAAAATCGTCTCGCAGTTGAATCTAGTTGCCTTCCCCTGCAGGGCCTACAGGGGGCGTCCTCTTTTGAGTCCAAGAGCAAGCCAAGGGAAGGGTGGATCCCTCTCTCTCTCGCTCTCTCTATTTGAGATTAGTGTGCAGGTATTTTCAGCCTGTGTTTCTTAATGGATTAACATTAACACACTTCATTGTAATCACTTAACAACACAGACAGACAGCATGCATGGTAATAATAATAATAATAATATGCCATTTAGCAGACGCTTTTATCCAAAGCGACTTACAGTCATCCGTGCATAAATTTTTGTGTATGGGTGGTCCCGGGGATCGAACCCACTACCTTGGCGTTACAAGCGCCGTGCTCTACCAGCTGAGCTACAGAGGACCATGCACGCATACATGCACGCACGCACACACACAGTCTGGACAAAGCACCACCACCCATCACTCACTCTCTCTCTCTCTCTCTCTCTCTCCTCTCTCTCTCTCTCTCTCTCTCCCCCTCTCCTGATATAATGTGATTAGTGTAATTGATCCGCTGGGGTTTAGCTGACTAACCTCTCTCTGTCTCTCTCTTTCTCTCTGTCCATCTTTCCCTCTCTCTCTCTCTCTCTCTCTCTTCCTCTCGCTGTCTCCCACACAGGTAATATTCTCAGTGTCTGACTCACCCCACTGTTCTCACCCGGCGAATCTCCCACTCCAGGGGGAGGAGAGAGGAGGCGACAGGGAGACAGACACAGGGACAGAGAGATAAAGAGATAGAGGGAGGGAAAACACTGTGAAGAGAGGCAGACAAGATAAAGAATCATGGAATAACAGAAAGAAAGACTGAGTGAGGGAGAGAGGGAGAGTGAGGGAGAGAGAGGGAGGGAAACAACAAAGGAACAGAAGAGATAAGGAGAGATGAAGAAAGAGCGATAACAGGAACGGTTTTTGGACCCTGCAAGAAAGAAGAGAGCCGAGAGATGAGAGAGAGAGAGGAGGAGAGAGAGAGAGAGAGAGACGAGGCGAGAATGGGGGAGCGAAGAGAGAGAGAGAGAAATAGGAAGAGAAAATAGAGAGAAATAGAGAGAGAGAGAGAAATATGGAGAGAGGAGAGAGAGAGAGAGAGAGAGAGAGAGAGAGAGAGAGAGAGAGAGAGAGAGAGAGAGGACTACAGACTGAAGGTGAACGCTCTGAGATATCTGGTAGTTAGAGCTGGAGATAGTTTTGGTCCACCCATTATGCCATCATTGACTTGAAACGGGAGGCCTGTTCTATACATTCTATTTCTATGGTAGAGATATTATGGGTATTGGGCTGCGTAGCAACAGTAGCTTACAGGGCTAACTAGTTAGCAACACAACAACATGCTTAGCTCAGCTTAGCTGAGAGTGGCTGAGCCCTATTTAGTGCAGCACTTTTAACCAGTGCCTGTGGCACCCTATTCCCTATCTAGTGCAATACTTTTGTCTGAGTCCTCACTTCTCATGCAACTTCAATGGAGTGTACTGACGTGATTTCTCTCTCTCTCTCTCTCTCTCTCTCTCTAGTACCCTCTCCACTCCTCCCCCCAGTAGTAGACCATGGTAGATTTGTTCATAGGTCGTTCATTAGTATGTAACAACAGAGATCGTGTTGAGTACGATACGGAACGTGAAGTCATCCACCGTCTCCAGAACCGGATCCTGCTCCTGTTCTTCGGTTCCGCAGACTGCCAACGGTGCCAGGAGTTCGTCCCCACGCTTAAGGTAAACACACACTCACAAGCACACATATACGCACGCATTGACTCACTTGTCAGCCTATATTTCTCTCTCTCTCTCTCTCTCTCTCTCTCTCTCTCTCTCTCTCTCTCTCTCTCTCTCTCTCTCTGTAACGCAGGGAGTCAGGAAGCAGGTGCAGTTAGTGAGTTTAATAATAACGAACGTAGACCGATACAAAACAAGAGACGCGTCTGACATGGAAATATAACCAATACTACCTGATGACTAGTAACAAAAGAGTGCTATATGAAGGGTAAGTAATCAGGGAGTAATGAAGTCCAGGTGTGACTGATGATGAGACGCAGGTGTGCGTAATGGTGGTTGCCAGGTGTGCGTAAAGATGGGTTGCCAGGACTGGTGGTTAGTAGACCGGCGACGTCGAAGGCTGGAGGGGAGGAGCGGGAGTAGACTTGACACTTTTTCTTTCTTTCTTTCTTTCTTTCTTTCTTTCTTTCTTTCTTTCTTTCTTTCTTTCTTTCTTTCTTTCTTTCTTTCTTTCTTTCTTTCTTTCTTTCTTTCTTGCTCTTTCTCTTTGCCAATTAAAGTATTATAAAAATCTAATATCTCTCCTCCCTCTAATTCCTTCCACTTTCCTCCCCCCCCCTCTACCCCCTCCCCTTAGGACTTCTTCAAGCGTCTAACTGATGAGTTCTACGTGGAACGCTCCGCCCAGTTGGTCCTTCTATACATCAGCCTGGACCAATCAGAGGAGCAGCTGGAGAGCCTCCTCAAAGAGCTGCCCAAGAGATGCCTGTTCCTAACCCACGATGACCCCTATCGCAGGTATGGATGGATAGGGTTGGGTGGGGAGGATGGGTTTGGGGAAGGTGGGGAGAATGGGGTGGGGTTGGGGAGGGTGGGGAGAACGGGGTGGGGTTGGGGAGGATGGGGGAAAGGGGTTGGGAAGGGTGAAGAGGATGCGGTTAGGGAGGGTGTGTGTGTATGTTGCATGTATAACGCCTGTATAACATGTCTGTTGTGTGTGTGTGTGTGTGTTTGTGTGTGTGTGTTTGTGTGTTTGTGTGTGTGTGTGTGTGTATAGAGTGGAGGTGTATATAAATGTACTATAATGTGTATGTGTGTATATAAACACGTGTGTGTATGACAAACTTGTGTGTGTTTAGTGTGTTGTTTGTGTGTGTGTGTGTGTGTGTGTGTGTGTGTGTGTGTATAGAGTGAGTGTGTATATATAATGTATATATAATGTGTATGTGTGTGGGTGTGTATAAAACGTGTGTGTATGACAACTTGTGTGTGTGTGTGTGTGTGTGTGTGTGTGTGTGTATAGAGTGAGTGTGTATATATAATGTATATATATAGTGGTATGTGTGTGGGTGTGTATAAAACGTGTGTGTATGACAACTTGTGTGTGTGTGTGTGTGTGTGTGTGTGTGTGTGTGTGTGTGTGTGTGTGTGTGTGTGTGTGTGTGTGTTTGTGTGTGTGTGTGTGTGTGTCAGAGAGCTGGAGTCTATGTTTGAGGTGGAGGACCTACCAAGGGTTGTGGTGCTGCGTCCAGACTGTTCTATTCTGTCTCCCAACGCTGTCTCTGAGATAAACAGCCTCGGAACCGACTGCTTCCACAACTGGCAGGTGTGTGTGTATAATGTGAGCGTGTGTGTATTGTATGTTTGTGTTACAAGTGCATTTAAAGTGTGTGTGTGTGTATATATATATATATATATATAAAACGTGTGTGTATAATGTGCGTGTGTGTTTTATAACAATGTTTGTGTATAACAATGCATGTGTGTACAACTTGTGTGTATAATATTGTGTGTGTGTGTATGTAACGTGTGTATGTTTGTGTGTATAACGATGTGTGTGTGGGGTGTGTGTGTGTGTGTATACTGTGTGTGTGTTAATGTATATAATGTGTGTGTAACAATATCTTTGTATGTATACACTACCGTTCAAAGGTTGGGGTCACTTAGAAATGTCCTTGTTTTCCATGAAAACATACATGAAATGAGTTTGAATAGGAAATATAGCAAAATGAATAGGAAATGTGGTCATTGACAAGGTTAGAAATGATGATTTTTAATTGAAATAATAATTGTGTCCTTCAAACTTTGCTTTCGTCAAAGAATCCTCCATTTGCAGGAATTACAGCCTTGCAGACCTTTGGCATTCTAGTTGTCAATTTGTTGAGGTAATCTGAAGAGATTTCACCCCATGCTTCCTGAAGCACCTCCCACAAGTTGGATTGGCTTGATGGGCACTTCTTACGTACCATACGGTCAAGCTGCTCCCACAACAGCTCAATAGGGTTGAGATCCGGTGACTGTGCTGGCCACTCCATTATAGACAGAATACCAGCTGACTGCTTCTTCCCTAAAAAGTTATTGCATAGTTTGGAGCTGTGCTTTGTGTCATTGTCCTGTTGTAGGAGGAAATTGGCTCCAATCAAGCACCATCCACAGGGTATGGCATGGCATTGCAAAATGGAGTGATATCCTTCCTTCTTCAAGATCCATTTTATCCTGTACAAATCTCCAACTTTACCACCACCAAAGCACCCCCAGACCATCACATTGCCTCCACCATGCTTGACCGATGGCATCAAGCACTCCTCCAGCATCTTTCATTTGGTCTGCGTCTCACAAATGTTCTTCTTTGTGATCCGAACACCTCAAACTTCGATTTGTCTGTCCATAACACTTTTTTCCAATATTCCTCTGTCCAGCGTCTGTGTTCATTTGCCCATCTTAATCTTTTATTTTTATTGGCCAGTCTGAGATATGGCTTTTTCTTTGCAACTCTGCCTAGAAGGTCAGCCTCCCGGAGTTGCCTCTTCACTGTTGACGTTGAGACTGGTGTTTCGCGGGTACTATTTAATGAGGCTGCCAGTTGAGGACCTGTGAGGCTTCTGTTTCTCAAACTACACACTCTAATGTATTTGTTCTCTTGCTCAGTTGTGCACCGGGGCCTCCCACTCCTCTTTCTATTCTGGTTAGAGCCAGTTTGCGCTGTTCTGTAAAGGTAGTACACAGCGTTGTACAAGATCTTCAGTTTCTTGGCAATTTCTTGCATGGAATAGCCTCCATTTCTCAGAACAAGAATAGACTGACGAGTTTCAGAAGAAAGTTATTTGTTTCTGGCCATTATGATTATGTAACCTCCCGAGTGGCACAGTGGTCTAAGTGGGCCAGTATGAAAAATAAAAAAAATAATGTATGCACTCACTAATTGTAAGTCGCTCTGGATAAGAGCGTCTGCTAAATGACTAAAATGTAAATGTAATCGAACCCACAATTGCTGATGCTCAAGAAGGCCAATTTTATTGCTTCTTTAATCAGCACAACAGTTTTCAGCTGTGCTAACATAATTGCAAAAGGGTTTTCTAATGATCAATTAGCCTTTTAAAATGATAAACACAAAGTGCCATTGGAACACAGGACTGATGGTTGCTGATAATGGGCCTCTGTACGCCTATGTAGATATTCCATAAAAAATCAGCCGGTTCCAGCTACAATAGCCATTTACAACATTAACAATGTCTACACTGTATTTCTGATCAATTTGATGTTATTTTAATGGACAAAAAAAATCGCTTTTCTTTCGAAAACAAGGATATTTCTAAGTGACCCCAAACTTTTGAACGGTAGTGTATGTTTCTATATATGTACAGCTACCTGCCAAAATAAAGGAAACACCAACATAAAGTGGTCTTACTGGGGCGTAGCGCCACCATGAGCCTGAACAGCTTCACTGCACCTTGGCATAGATTCTATAAGTGTCGAACACTATTTTGCGACACCATTCTTCCACGAGATATTCCATCATTTGGTGTTTTGTTGATGGTTTGATGGCGGTTGGGTTGAGATCTGGTGACTGAGACACACACACACTTTTAAACCCCCTTATGCTCCTTTGAGACCCCTCTATCAAAGTCACTGAGAACTTCTTTTAGCCATGGTAGCCAAAATAATGGGCAACTGGGCATTTTTATACATGACCCTAAACCAGCCAGGTCACCCGTGATACAAGTCAGTATTCGACGTCCATCCATGTCTGAGGACATCGGGAGATGACGTGGAAACCGGCCACTAGGGGCAACAGTGAGCCCTGTTACTTTCAAGTAGGCTAAGCATCTACCTCCGGTTGCAAAGGTTGCATGTTCGAATCCAGCGATAGAAAGTCGTTTTGGATATTTTTTGTTTTAAGCCTATCCCAAACCTTAACCCTTACCGTAACCATTCGGAGTTAATGCCTAACCTTAAGAATTCGCAGTTGATGCCTAACCTTAAGAATTCGCAGTTGATGCCTAAATTTAACCTTGTAATGATAAAGAGAAGAACACTTGTTGGAGAAACATGGATGAACGTCTAATTCTGACGTGAGACTGTGAGATCATGTTGTCCTAAGCATGATGGTTAATTGCTTAATTAACTCAGGAACCACACCTGCTTTCAATATACTTTGCATCCCTCATCTACTCAAGTGTTTCATTTATTTTGTCAGTTATATGTACAGTGTGTATGTATGTAACATGTGTGTGTGTGTGTCTGACAGGAATCGGCTGAGCTTATCGATAGGAACTTCATGTTGAACGAGGAGTTTGATGACAACAAGATGCGGAGCGTCACCGACCCGATACGCCGCCTCAAATACAAGGTGGAGAAGAAGAAGAAGAAGAAGAGGTGGTGGGGGTGGGGGGGTGGTGGAGGAGAGGAGGAGGGGGAGGAGGAGGAGGATGAGGAGGAGGAGGAGGAGAAAAAGGGGGATGAGGTGAAAAGGGGAGAGGAAGGATGAGAAGAGAAGGTGGAACTCCACTCATCTGAATCCTCTCCAATGATTGGTTGGTTCTGTCAAGACAGACCTCTTGATTGGTTGATTGTGGCTTTTGTTAATGACTGGATTGCTGATGCTGCCAAGACAACGTCTGCATCCCAAATGGAACCCTATTCCCTTCATAGTGCACTGCTTATGATAAGGGCCTAAAAGGCTCTGGTCAAAAGTAGTGCACTATGTAGGGATCTGGTGTGTCATAATGGGTTGTAGTGATGGAGAGCTTTTCACTAGGCCTCAAAACACTGATGCTAATGCTGATGCTAACTAGCGAATAGTATTGACTAAATAATATGAACTGATGCTAACTAGCGATTAGCAATGACTGAGTAATATGAACTGATTTTAACTAGCGATTAGCAATGACCGGCTAATATGAACTGATGCTAAGTACAGATTAGCAATGGCTGAATAATATGAACTGGATGCTATTGGTTGCTAACTAGCGATTAGTAGTGGTTGAATAAATGGAAAATAATGCTAATTGATGCTAACTTGCAAGCAGCAATGACTGTATAATATGAACAGTTGCTAACTACACATTTAGAAAAAATTATTCCAAAAGGGTTCTTCAGCTGTCCCCATAGGATAACCCTTTTGGGTTCCGTGTAGAACCCTCTGTGGAAAGGGTTCTACATGGAACCGAAAAGGGTTCTACCTGGAATGAAAAGAGTTCTACCTGGAGCCAAAAATTGTTCTTCAAAGGGTTCTCCTATGGGTACAGCCAAAGAACCCTTTTAGGTTCTAGATAGCACCTTTTTTTCTAAGTGTAGTGAATAGCAATGACTGGCTAATATGAACGAATGCTAACTAGCGATTAATAATGAGCGGCTAATATGAACTGAATGCTAACTAGTGCTTAGCAATGGTTGAATAATATTAACTGATGCTAATTATACTGAACAAAAATATAAACGCAACATGCAATAATTTCAAAGACTTTTACAGTTCATATGAGGAAATCAGTCAATTTAAATATATTCATTAGGCCCTAATCTATGGATTTCACATGACTGGGAATACAGATGTGCATCTGTTGGTCACAGATACCTTTTTTAAAAAATGGGCCTCACAATGGGCCGTCAGGTTTTTGTAACTGTATTTGTGGACATTCAAATTGCCATCGATAAAATGCAATTGTGTTCGTTGTCCATAGCTTATGCCTGCCCATACCATAACCCACCGTCACCATGGGGAACTCTGTTCACAACATTGACATCAGCAAACAGCTCGCCCACATGATGCCATTACACATGGTCTGTGGTTGTGAGGCTGGTTGGATGCACTGCCAAATTCTCTAAAATGATGTAAAAATAAAATAAAAATAGGGGGAGGCTTATGGTAGAAAAATGAACATTCAATTCTCTGGCAACAGCTGTGGTGGACATTCCTGCAGTCAGCATGCCAATTGCACGCTCCCTCAAAACTTGAGACATCTGTGGAATTGTGTTGTGTGACAAAACTGCACATTTTAGAGTGGCCTTTTATTGTCCCCAGCACAAGGTGCACCTGTGTAATAGTCATGCTGTTTAATCAGCTTTTTGATATGCCACACCTGTCTGGTGGATGGATTATCTTGGCGAAGGAGAAATACTCACTAACAGGGATGTAAACAAATGTGTGCACAGAATGTTAGAGAAAATGCGTATGGAACATTTCTGGGATATTTTATTTCAGCTCATTAAACATGGGACCAAAGCTTTGCATGTTGCGTTTATATTTTTGTTCAGTGGCAATGGTTGACTAATGTTAACTGATACTAATTGATGCTAACTAGCGATTAGCAATGACTGGAGTATATGAACTGATGCTAATTGATGCTAACTAGTGATAATGACTGGATAATATGAACTGACGCTAATTCATGCTAACTATTGATTAGCAATGACTGGATAATATGAACTGATGCTAATTGATGCTAACTAACAATTAGCAATAGGTGGCTAATATGAACTGAATGCTAATTGATGCTACCTATGGATTGGCAATCGCTGAATAATATGAACTGATGATATCTAGGAATTAGCAATGTCTGTATAATATAAAATGTTGCTAATAACAATGGTTGGATAATATTGGCACTAATTACTGTCCATAGTGCTGTGGCGTGAAGGTGCCAGAACAGAAGACTGCTTCTGTAGGTCACCTCAATGCTTTACACTGGGGATTGTTATGTATATCTGTTACGTGTATATAATTTATGTTCATCTATTCATAATAAAACATAACCATCTGGATGATGATGATGATGAGGGTGATGATGATGATGCTGTTGTAGTTATGATGATTTAACAAATATGGCAGAAGCCTATTAGGTCTCTCTCTCTTTCATCTCTCTCTCTCTCTCTCTCTCTCTCTCTCTCTCTCTCTCTCTTTCTCTCTCTTCTCTCTCTCTCTCTCTCTTCACTTCTCTCTCTCTTTCTCTCTCTTTCACTCTGTCTCTGCCTCTCTCTCTCTCTCTCTCCTTCTTTGTCTTTTGCACTAACCCAGCCAGTTGTGCTTTTCCTTTTTTACAAATGTGTTGCTGACACAGTCCCGTAGCTACTTCCTGTTCTCTCAGTAACAATACGGCAGAGAGAGGAAGTACAACTGAAATCACAACTCTATGACAAAATCTAACTTCACCAGAAGGGTAAGAATCTTACTTCAATAAACAGTTCAGTTTAATAATATGTTCAGATGATTTGATAAAAGAGGAAGTCAAGTGACTCAATGATTTCATCACCAGATGAGGCCTATAGCGGACAAGGAGGAAAAGAGAGAGGAGGAGAAAGTGGTGAAGGAGAGAGGGATGAGTGAGAAAGGAGGACAGAAACAATAGGCCTCATTTAAAATTCAACCAATTAACTAAACCCCCTAAACTTTTTTTTGACAAATGTATTATTTCCTTATTAATAGCCATGCTTCCTCCTTCTTCAAGTGTGTTGCATTTTTATTCACACATGGGACACCATTTCTGTGGTATAAAATAGCAAAAAATAATCAATTAAAAACGTATCATTTTTTTGCCACAGATCTGTGCTCTTTCGCACCACGAAAAATGGTGCCCATAGTCACTTCCTGTTTCTGCAGCAGTAAAATCGAAAGTCAAAGTCATGACATTGCATGAAGTCACTTCACAGCAAAATTGTGAAAGCTGTGAACGATTTTGCACCAGGATGTCACCCATAATTGCTAGGATTCAGTGTTTGGTAGTACTGAGTGAAGAGGTACACTCCTATGCCAGGAGCCATTGGGAAGTCCCGCCCCTCTGACCTTCTCCTCCAATGGGTTTTGAGAAGGAGATGAGGAGCGAGGACGCAAGGAGTATCCAATTGAGATTCTCCCATGTAGTCGTGTTGTGTCACTTGACACACAGTCTGAGATGGAGGGAGAGCGTCCTCGAGTGGGAGATTGACTGTTGCTCTCCCTCCAATTTGGATGTGTAGTGATGTGAACGTGATTAGGGAGTGGACTCCCGGGACAGTTTATCTGTCGTAGTGCGTCTGTGAGTGTGTTTCTGTCATCTGATCTGTAGAGGGCGCTTTATCTCTGATTTCGTTATGAACAGGTGTGAAAGTAGATTTCATTTCTTCCCGGTACAGGACTTTCTGTATTACTTTGTTGGTTTCAGCAGAGATTACCATGAATCCCAGTTAAACAAACTTTAATATTGTTCCGCCATTACTGTACATATGCACCACAGGTGTCATAAAAGGCAGAGCTGGCATTATGGGCGGGCCTTAGGGGGCCTGGCCCGCCCCCTACCATACCTCCTTGCACGTCCAATATTTATCAGGCGCGCCAAACAGAAAATCAATCTTACACTACCGGTCAAAAGTTTTAGAACACCTACTCATTCAAGGGTTTTTCTTTATTTTTTAATATTTTCAACATTTTAGAATAATAGTAAAGACATCAAAACTATGAAATAACACATATGGAATCATGTAGTAACCAAAAAAGTGTTAAACAAATCCCCCAAAAATGAGATTTGAGATTCTTCAAATAGCCACCCTTTGCCTTGATGACAGCTTTGCACACTCTTTTCCAACAGTCTTGAAGGAGTTCCCACATATGCTGAACACTTGTTGGCTGCTTTTCCTTCACTCTGCGGTCCGACTCATCCCAAACCATCTCAGTTTGGTTGAGGTCGGGGGATTGTGGAGGCCAGGTCATCTGATGCAGCACTCCATCACTCTCCTTCTTGGTAAAATAGCCCTTACACAGCCTGGAGGTGTGTTGGGTCATTGTCCTGTTGAAAAACAAATGATAGTCCCATTAAGCCCAAACCAGATGGGATGGCATATCGCTGCAGAATGCTGTGGTAGCCATGCTGGTTAAGTGTGCCTTGAATTCTAAATAAATCACAGACAATGTAACCAGCAAAGCGCCCCCACACCATAACACCTCCTCCTCCATGCTTTACGGTGGGAAATACACATTCAGAGATAATCCGTTCACCCACACCGTGTCTCACAAAGACACGGCAGTTGGAACCAAAAATCTCAAATTTGGACTCCAGACCAAAGGACAAATTTCCACCGGTCTAATGTCCATTGCTCGTGTTTCTTGGCCCAAGCAAGTCTCTTCTTCTTATTGGTGTCCATTAGTAGTGGTTTCCTTGCAGCAATTCAACCATGAAGGCCTGATTCACACAGTCCCCTCTGAACAGTTGATGTTGAGATGTGTCTGTAACTTGAACTCGGTGAAGCATTTATTTGGGCTGCAATTTCTGAGGCTGGTAACTCTAATGAACTTATCCTCTGCAGCAGAGGTAACTCTGGGTCTTCCATTCCTGTGGCGGTCCTTATGAGAGCCAGTTTCATCATAGTGCTTGATGGTTTTTGTGACTGCGCTTTAAGAAACTTTCAAAGTTCATGTCTTAAAGTAATGATGGACTGTCGTTTCTCTTTGCTTATTTGCGCTGTTCTTGCCATAATATGGACTTGGTCTTT